GATACAAGACCCAACATTTCTCCTTTGTATGTTTCTCACCACCACAATGGGTACACTTGAGGGACTTCTTGTCTGGATATCTATTTCCTTTAGTGGAGACTAGGGCTGAATGTTCTCCAGATAGTCCAGTTGACTGTGTCTGGGAGTCAACGTGCATCTCCCTTCTCCTGACTTCTTCATTCCTAACCAGGTAATAGACATGGTGAAGCTCCGGTAATTCACCTCTCCCTAGAATTTGTGACCTTATACCCTCATATACTGGGTCTAGGCCAGCCAGAAACTTAAAGGCTCTGCTCTCTTCAATTTGCTTATCATGTCTCTCCTTCTCCCTGGCATTTTCCCAATCTAATATCAAGTGATGGTCAAGTTCTTCCCAAAGACCTTCCAGAGTTGCAAAGTATGTTGCAACTGTCATATCACCTTGCCTTAAGACAGAAATGTCTTGATTCAATCTGTAGATTCTAGCATTGTTTTTCTTCTGTCCATAGGTCTTAGACACCTTTTCCCAAATCTTGGCTGTTGTAGGAAAGTGATGAACAGTCCTGGCAACCTGAGGAGTCATAGAGGCAAGCAACCAGGACATAACTGTGGCATTCTCCTTGCGCCACACAGCATAATCTGCACTGCCAACATCAGGTTCCTTCTTGCTCCCATCTAGGTAGCCGGTGAGGCCACGGGAAGTAATAAACAGCATTGCAGAAACGTACCACTCCCTAAAGTTGTATTCGTCCAGTAGCACACTTGTAATCTGCAGGTTGTGCAGATTAGGGTTTTCCAGATTTGAAGACCTTGTTGCAGGTCTGTTATCCCTAGAAGAAACATCTCCGGATATTGAAGACATCTTGGCTGCAGCCTCTGTGTAGATAGCACTAATTTAAGACTAGCTGAAGCAGTCCTGAAGCAGGTTCTGATTAGCCGAAGTAACCTCAACAGGCCCTGACAGCTCGCAACACAGTTTCAGACTTGTCGAGACTGTCACAGTTCTGAAGCAGTTCAGTTACAGCAGCAAATGAGGTGTTCTGGGCTGGTAACTGACCTGTGCTATGCAGACTCCACTTGAACTTCGAGTACTGCAACTGTAAAGG